CCCCAAAACCCCAAAACCCCAAAACCCCAAAACCCCTTGGCTCAATGGATGTTGAATATTATGAAATAAGATTTAATTTACAACAAGGTTTTTCTTCTCTTCATTCCCTACCTTCTGGTCAAGCTTAATAGACAGGTTGATGCCCTTATCAATGATCAAAGGTAGCTTAAGTAACAAAGCCTTCAGCTCCTTATTCAGGTCTTTTAAGGTAGGATTCGGCTTCAGTTTAATAGTTTTAATCCTTGCAAAGGGAAACTCATCGTATAACTTATGCCCTGCCTCTATCTCGGTCTGAGAATCACCTATTCAGATTATATTAGTCACTGCGCCTTTCTCTAGTTTAGCTTTAGTATCGAGGAAAGCATGCATTTTCCACTCGTTTACACCTTGAGGGAATTTTTTCTCGTATCTAGACCTAGCGGATATTATAGTGACCTTGTCAAGCAAAGGCTCTACCTTAGGAATGTAAGTCTTTCAACTGAACTCAACCCAACCTTGCTTCGCATTAGTGATGATGTAAACTTGGGCTTTATTGATGCAGGTGTCTAAGATTTTATACACTTTTCCTTCAAGTTTTTCCAAATTTATCTTAGTATCTTCAAGTAAGCCAAGCGAGAAGATATTACTATCTTTGGGTGTTAGATAGCTTGTACAGAGCAAAGTATCATCCCAATCAAGAATTATGATTGATTGATGGCTCTTAGGCTTGGAAGCAGGTGTCAGCCACACTTTCTCCATTGTCAGCTTGCTTAGGTACTTCTGCCGCATTATATCCGGGCTTTGAGCACCAGTACTCAGCTTATTTTTAAAAGACAGATCCTCAAAATCGTCAGAATCCATTGAAGATTGTGAAGAATGAATGCTGTTCTCGGTCTTGGAAGATTGGCTATTCTCCATTACAAACGAGAAATTTATTTCTTTGTGATTTGTAGACTCTTTACTAAGATCTTCAGTCGTTTTTAGTTTCTGGCTGGCTTCTGAAAGTGCTCTTCCTCTCTCTAATGCACTACTTGATTTATTTACCAGGAGAATTCTTGAGCGAGCCTTCATACCAACTAGGGCTTAAAGGAAGTCTAAAAGATCAGAAAACTTTATACCTAACTTCGGGAGCTATATTTGTTGAGCTGCTAGAAAATCCTTGCGGATTCCAAGCATATCGTAATATTTTTGCCTTTGCTTCACTATTGGTTTCTTCTTCCTTCGGATTTTTCTAAAAATTACTAGAAAATTACGTTTTATTAATCTTTGTCAAGCAGAATACGTATTCTGACAAAGGACAGACTACCGAATTTCCCATAATTTTAGTGTAAATTTATTATAATCCCATAAAGAATGGGGTTTTGGGGTTTTGGGGTTTTGGGGTTTTGGGG